CTCTACCACTTGAGCCATAGCACCACTTCTGGCTTTTTTTTTTTTCTGCTTATGTGGTGCTGAGGAATTGAACCTAGGGCCTCATGTATGCAAGGCAAGCGCTCTACCACTGAGCCAACTTCCCAGCCCTTAAAATTATCTTTAGTTATACAAAGGAGTTTTAATTCAACATGTCAGTTTATAAATACAATGCAGATGGCTTTTAATCTATATTGTGTTCAGGGTACCTCAAATTCTTTTGCATATCTCTGATTGAATCTTTCTTTGTTTAATAAGTTCCCTTGCCTGGATTAAATGGAAAAGAAAATGGCAAACCATAGCCACGGCTAATTAATTGTAGAGCAAGCTTGCAAAACTCTTTAGTCCAATCTGTGTTTAGCGGTTTTTTACTTCTTGTAATAATTTCGATTAGAATCTGCAGTTTTTATCTTCACATGCAGATAGTTTGTTTTATTTTGCTTTAGGAAAACATGTTTACCAAGGTATTTCCAGGCTTTAATTAATCATTATCTTCACTCATCCACCCAGTTTCAGTTATAAGTAGAAATGAAAAAAAAACATACTTTCTTATGAAGGAAGTATAATATTTATATGGCAAAATAAAATGTAGGTGTGACTGTATTTCTTCATATGACATTTTGATGAAGTACAACAGAGAAGTTAGAGTTGCTGAGTGATACTTCTTTAATTTTGTGAGAAAACAAATACCAAACAACTATTTTTGTGGATTGAATATATTTTTATACTCATTCCCCCTAAAAGAAAATAGCTTTTAATAGGACAAAAACAGAACTTCCCCATATAAACCCCTTTCCTCATTATTAAACCTCAGGCAGCAACATATTTAGCAAAATAAAATAATTCATGATAATTAATAGCAACTGTGTCTTGGAGAATAGCAACTAAATATTTGTGGAATCCCTCTGAATTATTCAAGATACATAGGTGAAGCTACTCCTCTATGGAGGTGACAACACATATATTTGCTCTTTTTTATGTGCATCTTAATACTTAGCTGCATTAAGACCAATTTTAAAGGGCAGAAAATCTTGAGGTTAGAGTCTATCCTAGAAAATGTCGATTCGTCTCTTGCATTGGGGAAGAGGGAGGAAAGGTGAAAGCTGAAAGTCAAACTGATTCTAAAAGAACTGAGTGAGTGCCTTTATTGGTACCTTGCCCTTTGCAAGAGCATCCGCGAGTAGGTGACATTTGCTTGAGGCTTAGCTCCATTTGTAACTGAAAGGATACTCTGGGTATTGGCAGAGCACAAATTGATAAATGGAAAAAGAAGCTTTGGGCTGCATACTGCTGTTCTTAGAATTATTAATGTGTCTAGGTTTTTAGGACTGTAGCTTAGTTAGTAAACACTGATGGGGAATACATTTCCATGTAGTTTAAAGGTATTTTCCTGTAGTGACCAGTGCAAGTATTCTCTGAAGCTATAGTTTTAATTCTTAATTTCTACTAAAGGTAAACCTAGTTTGATTTTCCCCCCATGTTTTCAGTATATCTTTATGTACTTCTTTTAAATCTTTGTTTTCTCCTCAGTGCTGTCCAACTTTTCTACTCAGTGAGGAATATCTTCCATTTGTTCCATGATGTTGTGCCAACATATCACAAGTAAGTACCACTGTATTTCATTGCTATGTAATAATTATATGTCTAAAAAGTTGGTTAAATCAATAGTTTTATATTTTCACCAAAGGTATTTCATTAAAATTCCCAATTGAATGCAACAAACCACTTAAAAATATTGATAAGGACTTGGACATGTACTACTAAATTAACCTGACTACGTTAATCTATAAATATCATGGGTGACACAGATTTTAAAAATTTAAGGAAATTACCCTGTTTTTAGTGCCTAGGCATTCAAATCACAAAGGTGATCATTCCATATTGCTATCCAGCAAACACTGAATTTCCTTCTTAGCATCTCTATTTGTAGGCATAAAACCACAAGATCAGGTTGTGTGATTGAGCCATGCTCGGCCTGCTCTTCCAGCATCAGGTTTTTATTTTACACATGTCTTGGGTTTTAGAGATTTGTTTTTTTTGGGGGGGTGTCCGGTCTTGGGGCCTGAACTCTGGGCCTG